ATGGAGTGGGATGTGTCGCTGCGGTTTGGGGAGGCGCAATCACAATCTGGTTGGGATCTCAGTGTGGACTCGTTCTCTGCGATGAAGGATGGCGCTGCCTCCCTGGCAAATGGGATCGGAGGAAGGGGCTCTACGTCGTGAATGTCGGCGAGGCAGCGGCCGAAGGCGAGCCCGACGGTGAGCACGGGTGTTCGTCCCATGAAATAGGCGGCCACGGAGGGCGGATCTGAGGCCACCCCAATCGCCGGTGGCCCTTCCTCCCATCGCTCATCGCCTCCATTCTCTCTCTCCTCTAAATCTTTGTCGCCCCTGCCTGATTCTGGCCGACGCCATCCGGCTCTCGCATCGACCACCACCAGCACGGCTGCGGACGAGGCGCAACCACAAACGCCGCCGCCGCCATCCTCATCCACCTCCTCCACCATCCTTCCCAGCCATCGTCGGGGGCACCCGCCATCTGCGCTCTAGCCCACCCGCTCCCTCCTATCCCCTCCCCCTGCCTGCCAGCCCCGTGATCCATCGCACAGATGGCAGGTACTACAGCGACCTCCTCCCCAGCGGATCCGGCCTCCTCCGATGGAGATCCATCCTGGGCACCGCCTTATTCTCATGCGTGCCCGTCTATATCAACGTCTCATTCCACCTCACCTGAGCCTTTACCTTCCCATCTCTGCTTCAGATCCACATCACTTTGCAAGGTATGTGCTTGATTATTCCAAACTGGATCGATGGATTATGCAAGGTACTTTGGGTGTCGTCATTGACGGCAATTGTCACGCCATGCTACCATCGGAGGGGTCCCTCATCGATCATTAGGGTCTTCCGAACTGCACGAGCTCCATTAAGAAGGATGTTTTTAATTCTGGTTTTGCCTACATGCTTTCTTTGCCTGTATCTACTTGCTAATGTCTTCTTATAGATAGTAGCTGCTGAAGTGGTGATCAAAGTTGTTCACTATAAGGAAACAACCATGATAACAAAAGTGTATATTCCCTGACTTTTGACCTGAAGTACTTTTTCATTAGAAACTTGCAACAGCCAGGCATTGAAATTAGCAACAGCTTCGTACGTACTGAACTAATTTGCAGCAACACGTACTGAACTAAGTTAGGTTATGCTCATCGTTCCAACATGCTTAGTGATAACCACCTAGCAAGCTGATCAAACATGAAAAAAATGACGTGCTACTGCTAATCGTACTATTCTGAATGTGAAAATCTATTTAATTGGCTCTTCTTTAATTGTACACTTGCATAAATCTCAGATCTTGCAAATTACAGTATAACCATAAAAGTCATGCTTTGACTCCTATAGGGCCTTTTGCACTTTAATATGACTAATAATTTGCCTTAATATCACAGATTGTATTACTACCTTTCTAAGTGAATGACATTCAAGAAGGTCATTAAATAAAACCAAGAAATCCTTCCGGTATTGGAGTGTAGGAAAGTTGAGACTATAAAACCAAAAGGTTATATTTATGTTTATTAGAGAAGGTTCTTTACTTTTTATAGGAAAACACAAAATGTTGCGATGTAGAGTCTAGGTGGTGGGCCTCCTTGATCCACTTGGTGGATGAGGGCGACTCCGGTCCTGGCACCCATAGTGCCAGTGATCCAAAAATTATAGGGCCTAGATATAGCTCTAGCAGACGTATGCGGCTTGCGCATCGAGCTTGGCCGTCTCGAGCATGGAGATAGGCGAGTTGTAGACCAAGAGCTGGTACAGAGATAGGCGAGTTGTGGACAAGAGCTGGTGGGCAGCAAGAAACGCATGCACACCAAAGAACAAATCTGAGTCACATGCCTACTTCTATTGGTTTCTACAAAGAGCGGCTAGCTTAGATCTTAGACCAGTCGGTCACTGTCGAGGTCGCCAAGGTGATCTTACAGCACCGCCGTGGGGATTTCTCATGATTTTATGTAGGCAAGCCGCAAGCGGTGGTGGTGATTGGCTGGGTGGTGTCGTTGCCTTGGGATGAGACGAAGTGATGGTAAAAGTAAGCAGGATCCGATGATTCTTCCGTGGGGATAGCCAAAGTCAAGATGTCGACTACAGACTCGTCGTAGACTTGCAGTGAACCTGGATGCGGCGAGCCTGATTTGTGGATCGATGGCAGGTCCTGACTTTGTTAGGCTGGGATTGGATGGTTGCGGAGGGTGGTGTGCTTGGTTGGGTTCCCATGGAAGAATGTGGCCTCCTCGTGGATCTGGTCATGCCCATCCTAGAGAACATTGTGTCCCTAGCTCCCTCGAGGAGTAAGGACAGTGCAAGCGGCAGCAGGGGGTAGGGGTAGATGTGGGGAGGGATGTCGACGGCTGCTCGAGGTCATCATGATGAAACCCTTGGCGTCCCATCTTCATCAATGGAAGTGGAAGAGCACGAAGTCGAGATTGGATAGGAGTTTGAGTTCTTTTTGGCACCGATCGGTTCCCCAGTTTAGAGATGTATTTTTTTTGCGTGCGAGCAAACAGTGGGTTGATTCTAAAAGGGATAGGCACTTTTCAACAGAAGTGCATGACGGACCAAAAATATGACCTCATTTTATTCGTTTGATAGATATCGTATTATTCGTTGTTGTTCGTTCGGTGAAATTTTCTAATATTTGATTGTTGTGTTTCTAATTAGAGCACCCCATAATCACCCAATATGAGGAGATAATAAATGAAAGATACTGATTATAAATTTTGAAGAGCCGGCCTGTGGCAACGCACGGGCGTTATACTAGTTAGGAGTAGAGATAGATACATGCCCAGCCATAATTGACGAGCTCCATGTCTCTTGTACTCCCTCCATTCCTAAATATATGTCTTTACAGATATTTCAATATAGACTATATACGAATGTATGTAGATGTATTTTAGAGTGTAGATTTAATCATTCTGCTTCGTATGTAGTTTATATTGGAATCTTTAGAAAGACTTATATTTAGAAAGAGGGAATGGTGTCTTAATGGTTGGAGAGTGTGTGCATGTGTGGCGGCACTGCTTGATTCTGTCAACTTGTAGATCATGCAGACTGGTCCACGAATGGATTATTATTGCTGTTGGGTTGGGTGTTGGGTTGGGTGGTACGTGGTTTTGTTGCTCAACTAACTGAGTGTGCCACGCGACATGCTCACTTGTTGCACGTACCCACAAGTATCCTCGATGCTCACTTGTTTACGATTTACCAATGTTGCTTTAATCGCTAGGAGATCGATGAAGTGAATGTTCTAGTCGCAAGGTACGTGGACCGTCTCTCAAACTGCAAGCAAACGACTTGATCGAACTGAACTGTTCTAGATCTCTTAAATTCAGCCGTACACCTCCAACAAAACTAAGTTATCTTGGGCATGTGTTGAAGCCAAAACGTGTCGCTTAATTAAGCATAGTTAAATTAAAGGCGAACCCATGCATGGACTGAGTTAGTGTGTTGGTAATGGCCGGCTATTAGGACCGGGTTGTTGTCAGCGTCGGTGGTGACACACTAACACAGCACATTAGTGGTCAACGCTTTTCTGGATGGATGTGGAGGCAGTCATTCAACCAGGATCCATCGACCGATCGTGACTGTAAAGTTAGGTCGTCGCCTTGCTGTTACGGGCACCCAAGTAATACTCAATTTTCCGTTCATGGATTTGCTAACGTCAATCTGTCCTAGTAGGACATGCACCCATTTTTTGTGCGCATGTGATCTATCTCACTATTGGAAAAACCGCCATTACCGAGTACATTACCCTTTACCGAGTACAGTACAACGGGATCACGTCAAAAGAAATGTAAGCCGAGTGTAGCTCTCGGCAAACAATAGGATAAGGCACATGGGAAACACCGAGGCATACCATTGTGCATGAGATTTTCAATGACTTGAGTTTGACCAACGCAACAAATTTTCTTTGAGGGGGAAACCAAGTTTTTATTCAGCAAAATCCAAAGTGTGTGGGATACATTTCTGGTCATGGGATTGGCCCAACCAAATGTGCCGACCAGGACATAAAGAGAGTGCAAACTTGGCTAATCTATGTGCATCGACATTGACTACACGACCTTCAAAAGTAAATTTACAGTTTAGGGGAATAGCTATACTATTAATCTTCTGGACGATGACGACATTTAGCTTAAATCCACGAACAGAAAACTGGCTATTACTTTGGTGCCCGCCACAGCAAGGCGACGACCTAACTTTGCTGTCACGATCGATTGAATGGTTGTCTCCACAACACATCCAGAAAAGCGTTGACCAGTAATGCGCTGCGTTAGTGTGTCACCACCGACGCGGAGACCGACCCGGCAGGTCCTAATAACCGGCCTTCTCCAACACTAACTTAGTCCATGGATTGTTCTTAATTTCACTGCTAAACAATGGCTTAACTATGCGAGGATACGTTTTGGGTTAAGCACATGCATGACCAAGATAACTTAGTTATTTTTTGGAGGTATGACCTAGCTAAGCACATGGCCGATTCCCTGGCGATTAATTAATTAACACGAATCGATCATAAACAAGTGAGCATGGAGGAGATTTTTTGGGTACGTGCATGCCTACGTAGCGCGCTTAATTAGTTGGGCAGGAACAATCCACATCCGAAATTGCTTTACGGACGACACTGCCCGCACGACCTGGAAACGATACTTCCTCCCAACGCCTCTAAGCATCAGCCAAAAGAAAAACAATTGCCTCATGCGCACTGTTGGTGCTGCCACGTACAGTCGTCCATGCATCGGCCGCAAGTTTGTCGTGTGTATAGCAACACTCATCCACATCCATGGACCAGTCCGCACGATCTAGAAGTTGACAGGATCAAGTGCCGCCACAGTCCACACGCACAGTCTCCAACCATTAAAACACAAGAGAGATGGATGCATCTTCTCGTCAATTATGGCTGCGCGCATGGACCAAGCACCCATCACTCACTGCCCGCTCTCTCTATAAGAATTTCCCGCGCACCCACCAGCCCATGCATGCAAACAAGTCACTGGTAGCCTACCCACACACATCACGTCAAAGCGCAGCAAGCAATGGCGTCCTCCTCCTCGTCTCCACTGCTCCTGCTGCTGCTTCTCCCGCTCCTGCTCGCCATGGCGCGCCCGTGCTCCGCCGTCGACGCCATCGGCACCTACTGCGCCAAGAACGGCACCAGCGCGGAGACGCAGGCCAGCATCGATCAGGTCCTCGCGGCGCTCGTCCCGCGCGCCTCAGCCGCCTACTACGCCACGGCCACCGCCGGCCGCTCCTCGTCCGCGGTCTGGGGCCTCGCGCAGTGCCGCGGCGACGTCCCGCGCCAGGACTGCTCGCTCTGCCTCGCCGCCGCGGCCAAGGAGGTCGCGTCGTCCTGCCGCGGCAGCTCGGACGGCCGGGTCTTCTACGACTACTGCCTCCTGCGGTACTCCACCTCCAACTTCGTCGGCCTCGCGGACACGGGGTACACGCTCATCCTCCTCAACACCCAGAACGCCACCGGCGTCGACCTGGCCGCGTTCGACCGGGCGCAGGGGAAGCTCATGTCCCGCGTCGCGTCGGAGGCCGGCGGCGCCCAGAACAAGGGGCTGGCGACGGACACGACGCGGCTAGGAAATGACGGCGGCGGAGCCAAGACGACCATCTACGGGCTCGGGTGGTGCACCAGGGACATCACCGCGGCGGACTGCGGGCTGTGCGTGGCGCAGGCGGTGGCCGAGCTGCCCAACTACTGCCGGTACCGGCGCGGCTGCCGTGTGATCTACAGCAGCTGCATGGCGCGCTACGAGGTGTACCCCTTCTTCTTCCCGCTCGACAGCGCCGGCGAGTCGGCCGACGAGGTCGGACAGTGCGACAAGATCGTCTTGAACTACCCGTGATGGGTGGAGTACAGCTAGTCAAGTAGAGTGCTATCTACAAGCACTCTAGCTCGTTGTGCGTATCTGGTGGTGGCGAATCCATTTGTTAGTGTATGGCTAGCTCGTAGCTAGCATAAAATCCAACCGGGGTCCAAATAATTAATTCTCGTGAAGTGCAAAATAATAAGCAAAATAATAGCCTCGTGGTTGTTTGTGTACATGTTTGCTAGTGAAAATAAATTTCGTGCAAACTACCCTCATGTAATTTTCATATTTGCAAAACTACTACCCACCAAAAGTTAATTAATTTCATATTTGCCTCTCGTGACTTCATCAATCTTCGAATATTATGTCGGCTCAGTCTCTCAGATGCTTATAAAGGTAGAGTGTGCGTGCTTGTGTTTATAGAGACAAGTGTATGCTCGTGTATATGGAGGGCTTCGATTGTATTGTGTCCAAAGATATTTAGTTAATTAATTCTTTGAGAGCAGTTGATTGCAATTTTGAGTTATCAACCACCTTGCTCCTTAAAAAGAAGTTATTTTTCCGATAAATGATGAATTTTATTGATTCAAAATGAAGCATCAAGAAGATACATAATACAATGAGCACACATCCGACCTCTGTATAGTTAGGATGCACACAGCCAATACCAACTCACACACACGAAAACACGCCAACAACTAGCAAAGTTGTATAAGACCAAAGTTATGTGTAGGCGAGGAAAAAAAAATCCCTAAAGTAATCAGATCTGTGATCGGCAACCTATAGTAATGACCATATCAGCACCAATCATCTCATGACACCACATGGCGATGGGATACTTCAACAGCAACGCCTTCAATAAGGGAGCGACACTCGAATGCCGCCGTCACTAGATCCAACCAGAAGTCCATAATATAGGTTTTCACCCTGAAGAATCAGTTCAAGCATATCCGAGCAATGCCTTCAACAAGGTAAGGATGTAAGAAAAACATCATCATTGCGAGGTATAGCCACTCGGGCTTGACCTAGGTTTTCGCCCCGGAGCTCGAGACTGGGTGCTCGAGTAGCACCATCATCGAAATCTCTCATGTGTTGACGCCACCACTTCTCCGCGAACCCGGCAGTTACGTGCGATGTGACCGCTACCACTACCTAACCATTCGTCTGCGTCAAGTCCTCGTCCATAGTTTGTATCGCACCGCTCGTCATCGTGCAGCCATAGGAAGTTGCTACATTACTTTGCAATCACCACCATTAGACCGACCAGATCTGAATCACCACAGCTATGTTGGCAGGTGCGGAAGGTCAGCACCTCGCCGCCGCAGGCTCGTACGGGCCAACCTGCACAGCTGCAAAGGCGTGCGCCCACCGCGCCGCTACTTCGGTGCCGCGGCATCACGCGGCCACAAGCAGCACCTCGCTGACGACTTCAAGTAGCCCCAGGGCCGATGAGGAATGCCGCTAGAACCACATGGAGCTCCCGATCTGAGCGCGCCGCCACGAGAAGAGATGCAGCTCCGATTCCCAGCAGCCAATGGCCTCCGAATCCGCCGCATCTCCGCATCACAAGACGCTTGCTGAAGTGCAGTCCAGATCCATCGCCACATGGCACTTGCCGCTCCTCCCGCTTGCCAAGACGCTGCACCAGGAGCAGCCTTGTGGACCAGACACCGGCACTCTAGATCTGCATCGCCCCCGCAACCTGCCAAGAGCCCACCAGGTCGTATCCCTTGGAGAGCAGCAGGCCCCCCGCCACCGCCGCATACGCCGGCGGCAACGGCGGCAAGAAGCAGCGAGGAGAAGGGCTCCTGGAGAAAGGGATTTGGGCCCCCCGGTGCCGCCGTTGGCGGCGACACGGGAGCGAGGGCTCTGTTCCTTTATCCTTATAGAGCTGTCATGGCTAGATTTTTCCTAAATCTGACTAAACTTTAACAATGTCGTATCTAGTGCGTCTAACCTAAGTACGCATGGGAAGGCCAGACTTGTAAAAACAATACCTGCCATACTCCCGTCAAGCATTGGTCTCCGCCACCGGCAGGATGGGTGGCGCTTTCTGTATCGGTTTACTGTAGTCGCAAAAATCGAGTTTATAAATTTCATGTAGTCTCAAAACAGTGTTGCCAAATTCAAAAAAATGTTCACAATTTTTTAAATTCTGGATTTCCAAAATTATGTTCAAATTTAAAAAAATCAATTATTACATATTGTAACAAGCGAATAAATGATTAAAAAAATTAACCTGATAAGGCAAGACTGAAAAAAAACAAAAAGATAATCCAAGAAAATTCTATAATCTTCCGAAACCGGCATGCGGGTGTGTGTTTGGTCGCAACCTAGACCTACACGTAGACCAGGCTCTGCCCTTATTGGGCGCCAGAGATACATGTCCCTGACTGCGAGATGTATCCTGGTCTCGCCAATGTGCGTGCTCGCCTTAGTGGGCTGGCCGATTAGAGCGATTTTAGGAAGGTTCTATAGAAAGTTAGCGACCTGCTTTACATTCTGCTGTGCGAGATTATTTTTTTCTGTGTTTTCTGTATCGGTTTTTTTTCTTTGTTTTCTCTTTGTGTTTTATTTTTTTGGTTTTCTTTTAGGTTTCCAATCCGTCATTTATTTATTTTTAGTTTCAAATTTGTTTGTTCTTTCATTTATTTTCAGATACTTTGCCAAATGTTTCGAAATATATGTTGAACATTTTCCTTATGTTGGTTGAACTTTTTTCAGATACACATTGATCATTTTTGCGAAATGTGCATTGAATATTCTATGAATGCATGGCTGAATATTATTTTAAAAATATGTAATTATTTTTCATAAATACCATGACCAATTTTTTAAACATACAAACTTTTGTGAAGTGTTAAAAAATTTTAGATGTCAGAAAATCTTTTTTGAACGATATGAACATTTTTTTTAAAATTATGCGTACATTGTTTTACATTGAATAAGCAATATTTAAAGATGTTTTGAGCACATTTCTTGAAACACTTGGACATGTTTTAAAAAATTCATAAACATTAGGTACATCATTTTACAAAAATTGCACAGACAAATATTCTTTACCTTGAAGGCAATTCATCGACCACTTGGTGGGCACGAACGCTTGTAGCGAGCTGCAGCGCCCTGACTCGCCGAAGTAGGAGCCATAGGGGTGGCCAAAGATGATGCGCGAGGCACTAGACGAGGATGAGGTACCAGAGGGGTGGCGTTCTTGATCTTCTTCTTCGCTGCTTCCTCGGCGGGCACCGACGCGGCTATAGTCAGTTTCCCGGCGGGCCATTGATCTCTGCTTCAAGATTCGCGCTCCTTGTTCTTTTTTCTCTGTTGTGTCTGTTGTCGTTTTTTGGGCCAAATTTTCTGACAAACCACTGTTTTGGGTCAGTCGATATTTTATTGGGCTGAAGCCCATTTTGTATTGCCTGCATAAAAGGCCAATGATGCTACTTCTTTTCCTGTTTCTATTCATTTTCTGTTTTTCTTTTTTACTTTTTAGCTAGTTTATATGGGTATCTTTTGGGGTGTTGGGTGAGCGTCAAATGTATAGATGCAATTACTATAGAACAAGTGCACAAACTGTACTGAAAGTGTTAAAATTGCACTACTATATGTTTATTTCATATACATATTAAAAAATTGCAAAGTTGAGTGCAAGTTTTAAAAAATGTTTCTCACATATATTTTTCCTTCTTAAAGGTGGTACCAATATCATTAATTCGTTCTACCTTTTATTTCTTAGTTTTGTTTCCTTTTCTTTCTTCTTTAAGTGCAATATCAATGTCACTAATTCATTCCTTCCTACAGAACTTCTTTATCCCGAAGTACCACTATTGTATGATTATTCTTGCATATGATGAAAATCATAATTTGTGTGTCAATTGTGTGCGAGTTTTATCCATTGTTTGCATAATATTATTTTCATTTTCATTCTTCTTAAAAGGTAATAGAAATGTCATTAATTCATTCTTCATTAGAAAACTTTTATCATTTTGATATTTAATTTGCATTTCATTTTATTTCTTCTTAAAGGATAATGCCAATGCTACTAATTAATTATCTCTTAGAAAACTTCATTATTTTGATTTTATTTTATTTTTTGTTTCATTTTCTTTCTCTTTAAAGGGTAATACCAATACCACTAATTCATTCTTCCTAAGAAAAATTCATTATTTTGACTCCATTTTAGTTTTTGTTTCGTTTTATTTTCCTTTAAAGGGTAATACCAATGCCACAAATTCATTCATTCTTACAAAACTACATTATTTTGATTTTATTTTAGTTTTTGTTTCATCTTATTTCTTTTATGGCTAATACTAATGCCCTAAATTCATTCTTCTTTAGAAACTTTATTATTTTTATTTTAGTTTAGTATTTGTCGCGGGCGTGCAAACCCTGTAGACAGCCCATATTTTCAATTAAATGATAGCCGGACCAAGCTAACACCAAAATTTGCCTAAAAAGATAACACCAAAATAAATTGTGGGGTAGTTATGGGCGTGATTACGTATCGCTTCAAGCGAGGCGGGAAGAAATCTGTCCTGTGCAGCGCCGTGTCCATGGCCAGTCAGGCCGTAATGAGTTTGCAAAAATTGCACTACTTGTTTCCTTCAAATAACACACATGTGTCGCAATAGGCGGAGCTATCGCCCTCGACCGTGGCGGTGTGAAACCGAATCCTGCCCGCGCAAGCGCCTTACCTTTTTTTTTCCATTTTTGTTAAGTACAAATGTAATTAAATCTTTCATTGTTTTGCTATTTTCGGGAAAATGGTAATGATATATTTCAAAAATATTTAAAATATCCCTGATATATATGAAAATAAAAAATGTAGTCATCAAACACAAAAAAATTGAAAAAGAATTAATCATATATTTCAAATATGTTAGACATGTAAAAACAATGTTCCAGGTGTATATGAAAACTGTAGAACGTGAATTAAAATATTAAACATCAAACCATTTTTTTAACTGACCATGTATGAAAAAATATTAATCATATATTTAAAAAATGTTACATTTGTATGAAAAACATTCTATCGC